GAAGCTGGGGCATGGGTCTTTCTATAAACTTGTCAAGCAAATAAAAAACCATCATGTTAGTAATAGAGAGTACACATAGTAATTTCATTTTTCCATATCTAAGATAGTAACAGAAGGAAACGGGACTCTGGCATCTCTAGAATTCTCAGCAGTTCTCAAGAGTATGTTACCATAATTCTAGCAAACTCACTAATAGGTATATTTTATCAGAACATTTCTTAAAGAGAGCCCTCAGCTTCCTTATCTACTAACCTTCCTCTTCAACCTGACAAAGGACAGAAAAATACCTAGTCACAATGTCAGTGTGTCTACAGACCCCCGAGAAGCACCCTGTCCTGACAGGAAAGTCAGCTATCTGATACATGAACTGGCACCTGAATCTCTAGCGCTTGACTTTCCTCTACTAAAAATTGTTTGGTTCTATAGGTCTTATGGATTCCTATCTTTCAAAATGTGCTTCAAATACAAATCCTCAGACCTTTCATATAACAGGGATAAAGGATACTAATCGCTTCAGGTAGTACCTAAACATATTAAGCAGAAGCCTCGCCTTTAAAAACCCATCTGCTTCCCTTGCTAGCATGTGAACTCAAAGAAGACATGGACTTTCTCAGTCTTGTTCATCGCTCTGTCTCCAGCACTGAGAATAGTACTTGGCAGACAGAAGTGGATCAAAATATTTGTCAAGAAATGAATGCACCAGTAAACATGAAAACAAAAACAACATGCTTGGAACAATAAGAGAACATGCCATGTTTTTCTGTGGGACTATCCTAATAGAAGTTAAAACAAGGAAAAGATGAGGACAGGCTAAAATAATCTGAGGAGTTGGAGGAACTGGTAGTTAAGTCGTCCTAGAGGGAAGGAGTCCTAGAGGAGGGGAATAAAACTGGCAAAGACCAGCAACAGGAAGGACTGAATGTGTCAGGAGGAGAATGAGGGGCTTGGGTGACAAAGGAGAAGGTGTATGTGGGAGCAGCAGAAGCCAGACTGAATGAAGAGAGTGAGGAAAGTAAGAAGACTGCAGAGGCCTGTAAAAACCACCAACTGAATACCACTGGGTTGGGGTTTACATTTAAAAATCATTTTTCACACCCCCAATTTAACCTCTAAAGGAAAATGAGCCTCAGAAAATGTATAAATCTTAAAAAAGAAGTAGAGCAATGGGACCAATAGTCAATCCTGGGGGCCCACATAAAGGTACAATTTGAGTTATAAAAAAAGTCTTAAAAGTTATAATAAGTTCCATAGTTTACTAAGATTAATGGTTTATCAAAGAACAATAAAAGTCACAGGCCTAAATTCACTAGCAATTTTCACACAAAGATAACATTTTTTCTTAAGTAGAAATTCACTTTTAATATCGCAGCAGGGTATATTTAATAGATTTTTTTAAAATTTTGTAACTGTTAATATTAACCGTAGAATGACGCCATTCACTAATTCTGGAACACCTAGAAATATGTAGACGTCAAACGCTCTGAATGGCTCTTTATTAGACAGTCACAGTTTTGAAGACAGCTTCAGATAAACCTAACAATCGAGATGCTGTAAATATATTTGCTCTTTCACCATGCTCTAGCTATTTATAGCAGCACAATTTCCTTTGTTTAAGAATTATTACTGATTATGCCACATTTATGTTCTCAAAGGCAGAATACCTTGGACATATTAGTTAAATGAATGGATGGCTGCAAGGATGAACAGATGAAACATCAAATGATTGTATTAAGGTCTTTGAGATACAGTTGCTATATGCTTCATACATGGACATCCCAGATCTTTCCTGACCAGGGCTAAAGCTTTGGGGCTTTCGCAAACATGTCTTTCATATTTAGCAACAGTCAGACTGGGATTAAAATGGAACAGAGGAGGGAAGAAAGTTTATAAGGGAAGAGCATTATTCCAGGCAAGGCTGGTGGTGTTTATGAAAGCAGGGGTGGATTTACTGTGAAGCTAATGAAGCTTAAGTGCTGGGACCCCTCACTTGCACAGGCCCCTTCCAAGGCCCGTGAGGAGCCCTCGTAACGAGTTCACATGGTAGTATGCTTCTGTAAAATTTGCCAAAGTAAGGTATAATCAAGTTCATCGCCCTAAAGAGGGCCCTCAAAATAAGTTTCAGGCCCCACACACCCTGGGTCTGAGAGGTAGGCAGAGACTGGATCCCAGGAGGAACGCTGGTTGTTACTGAGAACACTGTCAGAGCAGTGAGAAGGAGAGCTTGGGGTGCCAGTCAAAGCTCTGGGTGGTTTCTCATTCCTTCTTAAAATCACAATTTGCTAGGCTCACAGTTCTCATATCATGATTTTCCTTTCTGCTTTTCTATCTTCTTTGCAAATGAAGTCACAGGAGACATTTAGCTGTTACAAACTTCATGTCAAGCTTTGAAGTGCTTTTTAATAGCAGAAATATTTGGCTCACGTGTGGGCTTTGTAGCTATGGTAAATATCTCTTAGTTATCTGTCGCTGCTGTTCTTCCACACCTCCAATTTGGAGAAGAAATTCTGCATATGCATTGAGGCACTAAAAAAGAATATTGAGCCCTATCTTAGCTCTTTTGTGAGAGATTTCCTTTTATTTCTTCTCACATGGAGCTAATGCTTTTATCATAATGTACTGGTCATGGGTGGGAAAGCAGTGGATAGAAGGGGAATACTGATTATTACATCATTGGTTGCCAGTTTCCTCTTAGCTTCTTGAAGGTTAAGTGGTCAAGTAGCTTCTGAATACAAGATCAAGGTATTTTAAGGACTGACTCATTCATATGTTTTCTGACAAAGTGCTTTAGTAGACTTTGACAAAATACTTGCGGTGGTTAAAAGGGAAGAAACTGACCAGAGTTCATATGAAATACAGACGAAAAGACCATCTCGGAGGTTCTTGTATGACTATTTACATATAGACTATATGTCTAGGTACATATCAGAACAATATATTTAGAAATAGCATTCTTGAGAACAGATTATAGAAACAAAGACCATGTATTAAGCATTTTGGATATGTCCTGTGTTGAACAATGACATTTTGCTTCTTTATGTAACTTATTTTATGAAGAGATGACAGAAAATACTATTACATTCCATAAGTTAAACACTTAACATTTTGATTCCTCAAAATGCAACATTTTAGAAATCTAGATATGTTTATTAATTAGTGATTATTAACACCCAGTAAACAACATTATGTCTTGTAAAAACACAATCTCTCTTCACAGCATGATGCTGAAATCTATTATTCCCTGATTCCATATGCTAAAATACACTCAAATGGTCACCAATGACCTTAAGCATTAAATAAATGTAAATGAGGACAACATGGCAAATGTGCTTTTGATTGATAACTAAAAGACCAGGTTGAAAATCACATCCAAAGCGAAGTCCCCCCCAGAAGGGCAGGGCAGTCTGCACTGTGGAGCAAAGGCTGTCCTCAGAATGAAGGGCAGGTAACAGAGTGCTCTTTCTCGGACCTACCAGAGGTTTTCTGGGAAACAGAACTGGTTTGTGCATTTACATGAGACACACAGAGCACACTGCCCCCTGTGCCATCGGCCAACATTCTAATGCAGGATTTAAAAATACATATCTAGACACTTCACAGTTACCAGAAAAGCAATCATTGCTATTGCATAGCCTCGTCCCAGTATGTTGGCAACTTTAGTTTTTAAGCAGTATTGCCCTTCATCCACCCTCTCCCCAAACCAAGCAGTTGAAGTAGGAAAACACCCTCAACTTAGAGAGAACTCAAAATCTCAAAGGATGACAGCTTAACCATAATAAATTAAATAATTAAAAATTAGATTGTTCTAGTAATATTTGGGGACAACCATATGAAGGAAAAATGCACAAATACAGATATTTTAAGTGCAGACTACTAAATGTGTTTACTCATTCCCGTGGCAACAGGGCAAAAAGAAAACGTGCCACCACATTGGTTGAGGGTAAGCATTTCTCCTAGTTTGACTAAAAATTAACAAAATCTAAAAGGGAATGAATACATACACTATTTTAAAATCAAGCAGGATTTCTCAGTTCTGGCACTATTGACATTTTGGGCCAGATACTTCTTTGTTTTGGGGGTCGTCTGGTACACTGTAGGATGTTTAACAGTATCCCTGGCCTCTACCCACCGAATGCCAGTAACAATCCATCCCCTAGTCATGACAATAAAAAATGCCCCCATGTTGAGAGTCAGTGGCATACAGCCATTCATAAAAAGGTCCCAGGCCCTGGCCAGGTAGCTCAGTTGGTTAGAGCACTGTCCCGATACACCAAGGTTTGGGGGTCAATCCCCAGTCAGGGCACATATAAGAATTAACCAATAAATGCATAAATAAGTGGAACAACAAATCTTGCTCTCTTTCTTCCTTTCCTCTCTAAAAAAAATTTTTTTAACAAATCAATAAAAAATGAAGAAAAGAAGGTCATAGGCTGGGCTTCTCCCAAGCTCATACTGTACACTCTCAACACTAAATAATTCCCACCCAGTGCATTGTATAATATAATTATCTTCAGTTTTTCTTATCTGTTAATTGAAGGTAATGAGAATGACTACCTGCCTCATTACAGGTTCTTGTGAGCATCAAATGAGATGCTTTTAAAGTGCTTAGAACAGTGCCTGATACACAATAAGTGCTTACTAAATGTTAGCTATTACTATTATTATTATTATTATCATTATTTTAATCCTCACCTGAGGATAATTTTTCCCCATTTATCTTCAGATAGAGTGGGAAGTGGGGGAGACAGAGAGAGCAAAACATCGATGTGAGAGAGACACATCGACTGGTTGCCTCCCACACGACCCTGACCAGGGCCAGGGACGCACTGCAACCGAGGCACTGCCCTTGGCCGGAATCAAACCCGCGATTCTTTGGTCCGTGGGCCGACGCTCTAACCTCTGAGCCAAACCGGCCAGGGTGCTATTATTATTTTTAATAATCACCCACAATATGGAGAAAAGCAATTTCAACCAGAGCGTTTTGATGCAGAAAGGTATCTTACCAGCTTGATATTTTTCGAGTCTTAAACACACCAGCCTTCTGATTCCTCTTGATGATATCTCTCACATCTGTTGGACAGTTAAGAAAACTTCTGCGCCAACTGTCAACTGACTAAACAAATAAGTCAATAAAAGCCCACAAACACAGTCATCTTATTGGACATGGGCTCAGCACAGTGCAAGAAAAGAGCGATAGGGTATAAGGCAGGTGGAACTGGTTCCTGGCTCTTCCACATGTTGAATTACTTGTCACAAGCAGGCTCTTTTAATTCCCTGGGCTACAGTGAATTCCCTGTACATTCAGGGAGCATCCGGGCAAGGCCCAGGGCTATGGGCACTGGTGGGGGGAGACCACTATTCCATAGGTGCCAGGCCCCACTTGCTTAAAAGGCAAAGGTCTTTGAATCGGTGGGGAGGGCAATGGCAGTCTTCTGAGACTTTCCACGTTGAAGTACTTCCAGTCCCCTAAATGCTAGGAGGGAGGGTGAGGATGAGCAGCAGGGAAAGACGTGGGAGAAAGTGAGAAAGATGGAGAAAAGCTTGGAGAATCTTTGAGGAAAAATGAATTACTGAAGAAGAAAGTCAATCCAGTGAAAGGCCTCTTGATGAACTGTCCTTACAGACATCTGCTTTGGCCTTTGGCCATCTGCTGGTGTGTAAGGACTTGTACAGAAAGAGCCATGTCTATTGAAAAGATGTTTTGAGGATCTGGTCCTTTACATCACGCAACACCATCTTTATGAGGGCCCACGGGAAAAATCACGTTGGGTGTCAACATGGGAAAAGTTAGACTTCAGATTGACTAGTTCTGCTTCAACTTCTGGGCAATCATAAGTCTTAGAATTGTTCCTCTTTCTCTTTTTGCTCTAGTCCCTGTGGAGCTCAGAGCCAAACGTATGACTGCAGTCTGACAACCACAGGAGTTCCTATTGCATATGTTTTCTATACTGACCTGGCTTCATCATATTTCCTTGGCTTTCTAATTTCCAATTGCTCTCACTTTCTCAGTTATTTTACATGGTATATTCTATGTGTCACTGTAAGAAACCTCAAAATCCCTCTTTTGGAATAAGGCAGGTTTAAATAAACAAGAAATAAAATAATTCCAGCAAAGGCCGCAAGCTGGACTAAATTGGGCGCATGGGGAGGACACCAAGCAGACAAGCGATGTTCCCCTATTGCTCAGAAAAACAGATTTCCTGAATGCTAGAAACAAGCATTGGCCAAGGTCTCCCTGCAAGAACAGAGCCACAGGACTTTTTAACCCAAATCTCTGCTTGAAACACCAGGCACACCCATTTCTTCTCTGAGTGAATGAGCAGGTACTGTGATAGCTTTCTTCCCCAGGAGTGGGTAGGAAAAATCAATTAGGGCTCCTAATGAAGGGCTTTGTTGAGGTTTACAAAAGTGCTATAATGCAGACTTTTTTTTTTTTCCTGGATGAACTTTCCTGTATGCAAATTAAATACTGTTAAATTACATTCATTAAAAAAATAAAAGAGACTAATTTGCCTACTTGTTTTGATTAACTAAAATGACACATCGGCCTACAGTTCTATTTCAGGAGGAAAGTATTTCAGGAAAGTCTTCTACATGAAATGTCTTTTAGGGAAGGACAGCTGACATCTTTATTCTGAGAACAAAATTAGTAGAGTCAATTGACAACTGTTTTTGATTAAGCTCCCCCACACTCTGGCCACACCCTGCTCAGTGTTTCCATGGCATCCAACTGCAAGCCATAATGTGACAGGTACACCTGTCGTGTCCTGTGAGTACATGACTAATCTATCAAGCAAAACATATTATTTTGTTAGTGGAGGTAATACTTTTTATAAAATAGTCACAGGGAAGTTAAATTATATAACTCAGAAAACCTATTAATAATTTTTAGTAAACATCTTAACACTGTATACTTTTACATGATTTATAAACCTGTGACTCCAGGTGGTCAGGCTGAAGCAAGCATATGCATTTATATTCCAGAAGCAATTTTTTAAATGAAAAAATTCACAGCAGTATGTAGGCTGCTTTATTTTTAGAACTAGAAAGAAAATAAATTCTGTGGTTTAGGAGGTGTTTTTTATATTAAAACAAACACAAAGAGGAAAAAGTGTCAATAGTGTATTAAAGCATTACTTGAAGAGACATTCTGACATTCTGCTCCCCACCCTTTACTTTAGGTCACATTTTGAGGTGGTTCCTGTAGTTGGCACTGTGTCCAATAATCAATTTTATCTTTCTGCTGTGTCACTTCAGGGTAATAAAGGAAATTCAATCAAACTGAGTTAATACGTCCAAGATAGTTTTGAACAGGATGGACCAAATCGTGTTCTCTGAACTACACCCACCTTCTGGAAGACTTCAGTGGGGGGTGCTGGGTGAAAAGAAAGCCTTAGTAATTTCTGATTAATTGGATTTGGTGTAGTAATCACCTCCTATCTCCTTGTCTGGGCAACTGGACTTCCAGAGCTATAAGACATATTCTTATGGCTAAAAGCAGACCAGGATTCTAACTCTAGATTTTCTTCTCAAACAAAGCATAGTTCAGGAGTGAAGTTCCATTTTAATTTTGTTTCAGTTGATATTTATTCCTTAAAAAAATACACACACACACACACACACACACATATACATATAGTTGCACACTAACAATAACAGTTACTTAAACAAATTATGTTATAAATGCTACATATAGAACATTGTTTAAAATATTAGCCTCCTTTTGCAATGAGTAATTGTTCTATTTATTGGTAGTCACATATACATTTTGAGAATTGGCATTGTTTTTTAAGCAAGGAAATATTTAAAAAATAATAACATTATGATTTGCAAGACATTCCTTTCTCAGTTCGTTTCCTTTCTTTTCATTGGAACATCAAAGGTGGGGGTAGGAAAATATGAAATTATAAATCCTGTTAATTTTAATTTTGATCTCTAAAGTTTTGTAAGTTACTTGATGTGACTATATTTGCTAATTTAAAAGCTGCAAAATATTCCTAAATGTGCTTATTACTCAAATGCATTGAGAAGATGACAGAGGTGATCTGGACTCTTAGCAATGTCAACTGTGGTTATCGATGAGAGACCTTTTCTTCCGGAGGGTGCTGAGGAAAAGCAAGACAACACTCATCTAATCATCCTAGCTTTTGGCAAAATGGAATTGTTTAATGGGAAAAAAATATACCTTGAAGTCAAATAAACCTGGCTTCTAATGCTGGTCCTGATTCTTAGTGGCTGTGTGAACTTGGGTAAATTAACCTCTCTGAGCTCCACCTCAAAAATAACAATAACGATGCCTACTTACAAATGAGGAGCCTGACACTTAGTAGGTAACTAATTCATGTCAATTCATTATCTTTTTCAATAATTCAAGTAAAAGCTTTGGAGGGAAGAAGATGCTGGTGATTATAACTTAAGTGAGGTTTGGCAATTAAGCTTTATCTTCTTTCCCTGCTACTCAGAACTAATTAAGTGAACATTTATATTGTAGAATTTAAATAACTGGAGGGAATCAGAGAACTTCTGCCCTGTAGATTTCTAGTGTCTTTCACACGTATAAATGCGTTCTAGTCAAGGCATAGTCTGTGCCCACAAAGACAGAGACTTGGTCTATATTGTCCTCTACTGTATCTTTAGCGCCTGAAATGCATGCAATTAATACCAGTTGAATTAATTAATTAAAAATTGATTTTCAAAGCTACTCGTTAAGTTCTTGCCCAATGTGAGGCAGAGTCCATTTATGTATCATCTAGCAAACAGCACTGATATCAACATTTCAGCCAGCATTGATATTGGGGGACGAGGCCTGGATGCAGGCTGCTGGCTTGGCATTCCCAAGGTCTCAACCCTCCACAACACAGGCTGCACAGTCCACATGAAGCCTAACTTATTAATGCCTTAAATCAAGGATTCTGTTAAAACAATGTTAAGCCAGGGATATCTTCTTTAAAATGTATATGAAATTTACCAATTTTTAAAGAATCTTGTTTGAAATTATGATCCAGACTTTGCATACTGTGGAGATAAGATGCTTGGATCAGGAGCACAAGAAATGGGTCACCAAGCACTGCCATAGGCTGCAGATAACAACTTGCTGTTTACTAAGGAGGGATCGTGGCAAGGTGCTTGTGTTGGATGAATCAGTGAGTATAGCGGAGAGGGCTGCTCACCTTTAGTGCTGTATTTTTATTCATTATGATTTGGAAGAAGCTTAGCATCAGTGTATCCTCTCTCTCACCTCTTCTTATGTCATTGTCATGGCCAGCTACAAACTTTATGGAGTAATTATTATCTGTGGGCACTTGGAGAATTCTTTCTTTATTATATTAAAAGGGCAGTGCCAAAGAAAAGGGAACACATTTCACACTATTTTAGGATGAATTTGAGAAATGGATGAACCAGATAACGTTATTTTCTAACATCCTTTGTTCTATTCTGGTACAGCTAAATTATGGCATCTGTAAGGAGAGGCAGCTCTGAGGTACAAGGCTCTGTGTTAGACCCAGCAATGTGGTTTAAGGACCAAGGAGAACATCAGGGACACCTACTCATAAATCTGAGAAAATATTCAGGACTTACAGCATTCACTTATACCTCAAGTCTTGATCTCTTTTCAGATATCTCTGTTTAATAAATCTCAAATCAACATCTAGCTTTCCAGGTCAAGAGAGAGAGCTCTAGAAGATATAGCCAATCCACTAGATACATTTCAGGAAGCTATTAAATAAAATAACCTCACAACTGGTTGATATGTTTTTATGATATAAAGATTCGAAACACATCCTTTCATTGCCTTTCATATTTAAAAAACAGAAATAACAGAAGAAAGAAAATATCAGGAAATGCCATATATATAATATATAATATATACACATATATTTTAAGTAAGAATCAGAATGTTAGAAGACTAAGAGTCTAGGAAGTAAGACTCAGTTCTCAGTCATTAAATTTGGATGCCAAGAAAACATAAATAATTTTTTAAATGATGAGAATAATATACAGGCCAATACTCAGATGCAATGTGGGACTGCCAGGTCGATTTTCAATTACATTTCACTGATGTATTCATTTGTTTCTTAATGTGCTCATCTTGCCCATTAAGAATAATTAGCAGCTTTGCTTAGAGATTTTCTGGCTTCTGGCAATGTTTCTCCCCCCTTTTTTTGTTGACATCCACTTTTACTTTTTAGAAAGTAATTTTTGAATAATATCCTACAACTGCTATATAATTTAGGCTTTCTAAAATTTTAAAGGAAAGATGTAAACAGTAATTTTTAAATGAGTCTGTTTCGACCTATATGTATCAACAGTATGTGATTCAGTGAATTAGTTATTCTAACAGAAAATGGGCACACAAATAGAAAAAAAATTTCATTCATATTAACCTCACTCAGTAAAACTGCTTATGATGAATGCCAGTTGTAAGCTCTGTTAGCAAATCAAGAATATAATTAGTATTAAGAGCAGGAAAAAACACTGCCAATTTTTAAGGCTTTATGCATGTTTTTTTCCTCTTAATTTTAAAAAATCAGATCTAGTTACAGCAGAAAAATGCACACAAACATAGAACAACTGCATGACAAAAACTGCACTGCACTAGGAAAGTCCTAAGGGATAAAATAAAACACTACCAGTTTTGGTCTGCATCCTGAAAAGACCTACTTTATCTACATTGTAAAGTTCTTCCCCTCCCGCCCTTTGGCACCCTGCTATATTAAACCCATTGTAAAACCCAGCACAATAAAGCACTCTCAGGGCTGAGCTTCTGAGGACCAAATGTTAAAAATCCATTTTCTTGGGAGGGGGCTGTACCAATCATTTCTTTGAAAGGCCGGCAGAGTGAATACAGAATCTGAGATTTCCTCTCTGATTTCAAGAGCTGGCATGGCATCTTTGCTGTTTAAAGCAAAGGTGCATTAATTAATGACATTAGCATGGCTTCCCTTCTTTGGAAGCTCTGTAGTTTAGCTCAGTAATAATTTTAGTATAATTAAATTTACATACGGACTACAGATGTTTCCCATAGTTCGTTAAAAGTTCTAATTGGCTTCTGAGGCTATTAAATAAGACACCTGCTGACTTAAGAAGAACCTCAGGTTGCTGGGCCCAATCTGAAAGTTTCTGTGGCTAAAATGACCTTGTCTTGTCCAATAATCCTGCCTCCCCCCGCCCAAAGAACATATCCGCTGGGGCTGAGCCAGCATACCTGACTTCCTCTTGCTCTCTGTTCTGTGTTCCCTGACACGTGGAGGAGGAGCACAGTAAAATGATACAGTGCATGAAATAACCCAGAATAAAAGCAGAGTGAATGAACAACATCGGCTCATCTTCAGGAATATTTTGAGAAACTTGCGACAGTCTGAAGATCATGATTAAAATCCTGCATTTTAAAAAAGGAAGCACCTTTTGTGATCTCTTTCCCTTGTGTGAAAGGCCAGGACTGTGATTGGCTGTTTTTCCTTCCTGAATTTTTTAAGTCTATCAGGCAATTAGCTGGGTGGGGCTCTGTAGAGCACACAAGTGCCGCTGAACAATATTAGCTACTGTGCTTCTTGTACCTCCTTTCTCCTGTTTGAGCAGCCTGATGGAGCTGCTGCACATTTTATTTTTAAAAAATTGCACAGCAGAGATAGAAAAAGAAAATTGAAAAAGGGCTTTATGTAAGATGCTACAAAAAATCAGACCTGCTTTGACATTTTAGGAGTCTCAGATTCAAATAAGGAGATGACCTCCTTCAGGATGTAAATGTAAGGCACACCGAAAAACCCAGAACAAATATATCTTCCACTTTTCCTCTCAATTTCTAACGGCGGTTAAACTGCCCCTGAACAAATCAGCTCGATTGCTAAAGTAGCCACAAATTATGCTTGCTTTCTTAGTTAAAGTACAGTTCCATTTTCATGAACCCTGTGTACATATTAGTAAAGCATAATCTAATATAATGGGGTTTGAACTGTAATAGCATGACAGAAAAAAAAAAAAAAGAGAGATAGCTTTTATAATCCTAAATAAAAGGAAATAATGAAAACCTGATAGCTGTTTCCAGCGGGGAGATATAGTAACTCCTCAGCAATTAGAGTAGGCATAATATTATGTGGTATGCAGGTACAATATCAAACACAAGAAAGGTAATAATGAACATGAAATTGGAAGTTAATTTTTGTAAGCAATATCCAATATAATAAATATTAAATAATTTATTTTATACTGGCAATTTCAATGGAAATAAGAGAACAAGAATGCCTGAAAATTATGATAAAATAAATGTTCTTACTGCATTGAGTGGTCCACAAATCATAGGTTCCTTTAATGAGAAGTGACTATAAAAATTGATCAGAATAATAAAAAACACTTAATCTTACCCAATGAACTCCATATATTTCTACGTTTTCTTAATTACTTATCATGTGTATAGGGGGACTCTTTTTTAACACCCCATGCTGTCTTTCTTTATATCAATTGTTACTCAGATGGGGAAAAAGGAATGAGCACAACAAACCCGTTTTCTATCTGAATAAGGATACTTCTGATGGCCTTTTCATTCCCATCAGTTAACAGAACTTCTTTGACATCTGCAGAAATAGCAACCTGGAAAAAAAAAGGGAGCACAGCAAACAATGAGCAAATATGCTTGTCTGTGTGGAAGTGAAGACAGGAGTGACAAGCCTTCAGTATCATGCTTCCTCACCTATTTCTCTGTAACAATCTTCAATCTTTTTTCATTTTATGTCTGCATTATTTTAATCATTCAATCAAATCAGTCAATACTTTTATCATTCCATTTGCGGGAGCCTCTATCTTGCTATCATTCTGTTCGGTAATTGCATTGTGACAGCGGATGATGGTATTCTGAGAGGCTTTCATTTGTGGGCTTCTGTTTATCTAGTAGAGCCATCATACAAGGCTGTCACTCTGCCTTTCAGCTTGCTTCTGTCTGACTGCCTGATGCCCTTCATATAACTTTGCATTGCAGGCAGATGGCTTTGTGAGGGTAATTTTTTTGTGAGCTTTGACATGCTCGCACATTGGGCTGTAACCTCGACACATTGTGTAAGAGCGACAGGTTTGTCAAATGCCAATCAGTGTAACAATATGCTTTTATTTGTAGAGACATAAAAACTTGTCTAATGCACTGTGCTGCTACATAGTATCTCCTGAATACATGACTCAGAACCCAGAGAATGGGGAACAACGTTCCTGAATGGCCAATCTAATTCAAAAGAATCTAATTACTGAGCGCTCTGGATCATGTTTGTTGGTGTAATAATGCAGGCAAAACATTAGCAGCTATATCATGGTGCTCCAACTGTGATTCGCCGGGCTATTCCTGTATCTTAGCAAATGGGACTATAATCTGAAAAAAAAAAAAAAAAAAACCTTTCGCTATGGCAAAGAAAGACTGCGAGGCCGGGAATGTCACGACAAGCGGTATTGACTCGCTGAGGTAAAATGTTTCTGCTCACCAAAGCAACCATAAAATCAGTATGATCCGAAAGGAAGTCAGTCTAGAAGGTCTCTCAAGACCCGGCAGCTTGACCGCAGCTGATGCTGTTGACGGTTCTCTGACCCAGCAGTTGGAGGCCCTGGAACATTTTTCCTTTTGTTCCTCCCTCTGAATGGGATTGGAATTGAGAAAAGACCTACCATGAGCCCAGCCAAGCATGTCATGCCACCCCCTAGCTCACACACAGCAAGGTCCCTGAAAGAGAGAAAAGAAATGGTAGAACCCATACAAATTAGATGAAAATGGTTAGAGAGATATATATGTTACAAGAACAAATTGCCATCTGCAGTAAGAACGGCGCTACCGGGAAGTTGTAGAGACATGACTAGGCTACCTCATGTCGTTTTGCGTTTTAAAAATAATTATGAAATAGAAAAGTCACAAAGCAGGCAAATCAGTGGGGGTTCCCTCATTAGTGTTCACTGCAACATTACCACCGCTGAGCTGAAAAATCTGAGAAGGTTCCCTTTTTTCCCTTGTCAATGGCGCTGTCTTTTAGAACTAAACTAGCTAGAGTAGCGAAAGATAATTGTTAGGAAAGGATAACACTGTTAATCCACATTCACTCCTTCAAAAACAGTTAGACAAGTAAATGAAGAATATATATGAGTGTGTATATACCTATATTATAGTCACATACACACAACACACACAAATAAATGCAATCTTGAATTAAAAAAAAAAAATCTAAAACAAACCGAAACATTTGGGAAAGCTGAACCACCCCCATAAAGAACAATTACACAAAGAGCATTTAGCAATTAACACTTAAATCACAATTGACCCCAACACAACACAGTGAATAAACAATGCAGGGACATAATATGGTTAAGCCAGCAAACCCAGGCTAAAGTAATAATGACGGGGCTCTGACTTCACCGCTCAAAAGTAAAGCGGCTCAGAGTTAAAGCTGACAGTCTAATGTGGCACTCTGCACTTACCTTCTTTGTGCCTAAATATCAGTCCTCAACGTGTGACATCCTCGCCTGGCCCACTGCCCGCTGATTGGAGCTCCAGTCAAGCTTAAGCACAGCAAGATGAGCAAATGCCAGACTTCCAGGGCAGCTCTGCCGCCCCAATTCAATGCGGCCCTGTTCTTACTTTGTATGTTTAGACTCTTAAGATTGTTTCCTCTTCCCAGTTTGGGAAGTTTATTACCTCACCAGAAGAAAAAAAGCAGCACTGAAAGGGAGGGAGAGGTGGAAAGAGAGGGAAGGGGAGAAGGAGCCAAACAAGAACATTCATAGTCCAAAATACACTTAATGAGTATTTAGTTGTTCAAAGCAATTATAGACTGGTTGGTAAATATGGGCCCATAGAGTTTCAAAAAATATATATTATTGACCCAGTCTTGTAAGTACATATTGTTAAAACACACACACCATGATCACTAATGGCTCGTCTGGAAACATAATGGACTATTCAGGAAGTATATATTGGATGACTTTTATAAAATGAATTTTAAAATGAAAAACCTATATTTTCTGGGTCTACGAATCATCTTTAGAATTTTCAAATAAAAGGAGTTTTTTTCTTTTTCCTAAATCTCATCCATGGCTTTGATCTATAGTGCACACTGACAGTTGAAACATGTATTTCTGTAACATAAATATGTAATTACTATTTATTACTATATTTTATAAATACATGTTGTTAAGTATACAAAACACTTTTATAAACCAGGGGTGGGATGGCACTTTTCAATAATAGCTGTGGGGTATTTATCAAAAATTCTGTAGTGATTTCCCTCGCAGAAGTTTAAAGAACGTCTTTATTGTTTGGGGTGGTTTTTTTTGTTTTGTTTTGTTGTTTTAACCTTTACAATCAGTAAGGATTGATTGGAGCTTCACTTTTGTTTCCCCCAAATCAAAGTGAAATATAAAGCCTTGAGTGAAAACAAAAGCCTTTGACATATAGCAAAACGCTTGCTGTGCAATATTAGTACCTAAAGGCAATTCAGGTTTTTTCAGAAGCAACATGTTTTCACCATCAACTTTCCTCCCTTTCTTTCTGTTTTCTTTGATTTCCTACCTTCTTTCCTCCCTCCCTCCTGCTCTCTCTTTTTCTTTTTTCCTTTCTTAAACAATTAAAAAATTTAATTTGAATAATGTAATCATAACCATCTTTAATATGCAGATACCATCCCCAGAACGGGCGAAAAAGAAAATGTATTTTTAAGTGCAGCTTTGTACCTGAATATATCACTGTGCTTGAGGCAGTAGTAAGCCAAAACCTCTTCAGCTGGCCAGATGCCTGGAAAACACAAGGGGATAGACTTTTTTACTATAGCAGTCTCTTCCATAATCCTTCTCTGTAGTCGCTCTCTTAAGAAATGGCTTTTGGAAATAATGTTCAGTATAAGCCATTTCAACTTGAATAAAACTTAACATAATTATTACTAGTAATATATCACATGAGTTTCTTTGGTTATTGATTTTATAATGGTGAGATTTTTAACTCAGAGAAATAGTACAATATTCCAAATAAACTTTACTAAATTTCAATCACAACAAAAGAGCAAAAATAATAATAACCAAATTATAAATATCAGAAGTTAAATGTTAATGCTACTTTAGGTAGATCTTAGTGTTGTGCTATACAGGAACCTTCTTTTCAGCAAATTCATAAGCACCAATTGAATCTGCTGTATATGCAACTTATGTTAGGCAAAAATAAATGGAAAAATCACTTACAAGAGCAAATGAAACAACTGAGGTCATTATACCTTTTTGTTTGATTTCATATTAACTTTTAAAATATGGACAGTTTTCACTTTCTTCAATTAATAAAAATCAAATTGGAGTATAAAATGAAGAATTTTAAATTTCATTAACTTTGGCACATTTTTAAATTTAACAATAACCCTACCCACTAAATTCCATGGGTGGGCATTTTCTAAAAATCATCATCTGTGAATGATTTATTTAGAAGGCTTAAATCATTTTCATGAATGAATGTGAACTGCTTAAAGAGGAGACAAACATGTTAGGAAATTATAGTTCCTAGTGGTTATCACAGGATGGCATGGTTATAAGTGTTTTTAAGCTTTTTTCTTTATACTTTTTGTATTTACCAAATTTTTTACAATAAATATATGTATCACTCTTACAATTAGACAATAACCTTATAAAAATTGTTTTCCCTAAATGGTCAGACTCAAAGATCAGGCAGGGCACCAGACATCCCGCATGGCTGTGCAGTCCTGGGAAGGAGCAAGAATGCTTGCTGTCTTAGTTCTAAGCACTCTTCTAAGAGGTCTTGATGCAAAACTGAAATGCCTAACAACACAATTTTTTTCTCCCAGACGCATCTCTAGCTTTGGGGAGTTAAGAAATCCAAACATTTCAGACAAAAGGATGTAAAACAATGGTAAGTAAAATCTTAAAAGAATCAGTGGGTAAATATATGAATAGCAAAGAGATGACTCCAAAGCATATTTGCTGCAGGAAAGTCCAAACCCTGGTCGGGTAGCTAAGCTGGTAAGAGCATCATCCTGATATGCAAGGCTGCAGGTTTGATCCCCAGTCAGGGCACATACAAAAGTCAACTAATGAATGCATAAATAAGTGGAACAGCAAATTGATGTTTTTTTCTCTCTCTCTCTCCCTTCCCCTCTCTCTCTCTACAATCAATAAAAAAATTTTTTTTAATGAAGCTGAGAATCAAATCAGCAAACTGGAATATAAGGAAGCAAAAAACAATCAGAATAGCAAAAGAAAAAAAAAAGAATTAGAAAAAATAAAAATAGTGTAAGGAGCCTCCAAGACAACTTCAGGTATATCAACATTCACATCATGGGATGCTGGAAGGAGAAGAGAGAGAGCAAAACATTGAAAACCTATTTGAAAAATTAATAACAGAAAACTTCCCTAACCTTGTGAAGGAAATATACAAGTTCAGGAAGCACAGAGTCTTAAACAAGATGAACCCAAAGAGGCTTACACCAAGACACCTCATAATTAAAATGCAAAAGGTTAAAGACAAGAGGGAATCTTAAAAACAGCAAGAGAAGAGCAGTTAGCTACCTACAAGGGAGCTCCCATAAGACTGTCAGTTGATTTCTCAACAGAAATTTTGCAGGCCTGAAGGAAGTCACAAGAAATATTCAAAGTGATGAAAAACAAAAACCTACAACCAAGATTACTCTACCCAGCAAAGTTATCATTTAGAATAGAAGGATATATAGTTTCCCAGACAAGAAAAAGCTAAATGAGTTCATTACCACCAAACCAGTATTACATGAAATGTTAAAGGATCAAGAAGAAAAAGAAGAAGAAGAAGGAGATGGGATGAAGAGGAGGAGGAGGAGGAGGAGGAGGAAAAGGAGGAAGAGGAGGAGGAAAGAAGAAATATGAACAATAAAATAGCAATAAATGCATATCCATCAACAATTGAATTTAAAAAACAAAATAAACAAACAAGCAGAAAAGAAACAGATCATAGATACAGAGACCCTTTCTATGATTGCCAGATGGGAAGTGGGTAGAGTGATGGGTAGAAAAGGTAAAGGGATTAAGAAGTACAAATTGGTAAATTATATAATCTCTAATCACTGGGTTATACACCTGAAACTCATATAATATTGTATGTCAACTGTAATTGAAAAATAAAAAATGATTTAAAAACAATTTTTTTAAAGGAAAGTCTAGCCAGGCATACTTACTAGCTCAACAATCATGGCATTTCTGGTAGAAATGACAGTTTGGTGGAGAAACAAAGTAAACAAGCAAGAAGTGGTCAGAGTCATATTTAGGAAGAAAGTCAGAGAGGCAGTGGAGTGTAGCAAGTAAGGTTACAGGTACTTTGGAACCAGATTCACTAGGCTCAGCCCCAGCTCTGCATTACCTAGCTGAGTGACTTTGGATAGGCTACTTAACTTCTCTGTGCCTCAGGTCCCTCATTCATAAAATAACATAATTGTAGTATCAACCTCACAGGATTTTTGTTAGGATTAAATAAGTAAAATATATGAAATGTATTTAGAACATTTCCTAACTCATAATAAACTCAAAGGAAAAAAAAATTTCATTGTTGTTGTTAATATTATTCTCCTACAAAGAGGAAAGTGGAAGAGAGAATATATGAACCTAAAACAATTATCCCAGTAACCAGAACAGATGGAGAACCTTGAGTTTTGGCATGTCCCCAAAGTCCAAATACCTGGCATACCTCCGTATTAAAATAACTCTATAAAGACAAAAGTATGTAAAATTCCCTGAAGGGAGAGCCCAAGACAATGCTCTACACCAAGTGGATATAATCATCACAACAATGAATTTCTTTATACTTTTAGCAGATAGTTTTGAGGTTTAAAAAATTAATGATAGGGGAAGGGTATTAAACTAAAATTCAAGCCTCAATTAAGTATGAAATATAACTTCTCAAATGCGGTCTTTTAAAATAGTTTTATAATTTTCTCAAAAATTTATAGCAGTTGATTTTTAACTAAGTTAAATACAAAGCACAAAGATAAAAAAAAAATCACCAAAAATTCCACCGCTAGTACATAATCACTGTTAATATTTTGGACATCATTTCAAAAAATCTCTCTAGGCATAAAAATATTAGACACAAATGGGATTTTCTCAGGCAGGTATTCAATAATCTGATTTTGCCCCAATCAATATATGCTGGATAACATCCCATGGCAATAAAACTATGATATACCTGCATCATTACTTTTAATGACTGGATATTTTATGTCTGTATCATTTATTTGATTAGTTTCCTCTTGATAGACTTTTAAGTTCATTTGTAAGTTTTTGATATTATGAGATTATGAACAGTTGTACAATGAAGATACTTCCCCCCCCCCCCAACATATGATTTTTCTTCTTAGGTTAAATACCCAGAAATGGGAAATCTGGCCAAAGGTTAAGTACACTTCACATTCTGATAGGCTGTCAAACTGTTCTCCAAATTTTTTTACCAAACTACATCCCCAATGAGAGTATTTATTTCCTCAGTCTTGCCAAGGTAGGGTTTTGACAACTTATTTTATTTTTCTTAATCCTTTAGATTTTAAAAGTTACCTTAGTGCAAATCAAAACTACAATGAGATACCACTTCACACCCTCTAGGATAGTTATGATAAAAATGTCAGGAAATACAAATGGATAAAAAAGCTGTGGTACATGTACACAATGGAGGACCATGCAGCTGTAAGAAAGAAAGATCTCTTATCCTTTGAGACAGCGTGGAGGGACCTGGAGAGTATTATCCTAAGTGAAACAAGCCAAGCAGAGAAATACAAATATCACATAATCTCACTTATTTGTGGAATATAATGAACATAACAGTCTGAGGGATGGGGTAGTCCCAGAGACGTGGAAGTGGGTTACAGACTGACAATCCCCAGAAGAGGGGGTGGTGGGGGAGAGATAAACCACAGGACTTACATGCATGTATGCATGAACAATGGACATGGACAACAAAGCTGGGGACAGGGCAGGGAGGGAGGGGGAGGAGATATCAGTGGGGGAAAAAGGAGAAACTTGTAACAAAAATAAATAAATTTAAAAAATTTGTTTATAAAGTCAGGAAATAAATAGTGAGGATGTTGGGAGATTATGTAAAATGGTGTAGTCACTTTCGAAAACAGTCCAGCAGTTCATCAAAAAGTTAAATGTAGAATCACCATACAATTTCACTCCTTGGATATATTCAAGAGAAAAGAAAACATGTCTACACAAAAACATGTACATAAATACTCATAGCAGCATTATTCATAATAGTCAAAAAGTGGAAACAACCCAAATATCTATCAACTAATGGATAAACAAAATGTCATATGTCCATGAAATGGAATATTATTTGGCAATAAAAAGAAAGTACTCATTAATGCTACAACATCGATGGAACATGAAAACATTATGCTAAGTAAAAGAAGCCAGACACAAAGGGCCACATGTTGTATGTTTCCATTCATAAGAAATGTCCAGACTAGGCAAATTCACAGAGACAGGGTATAGAATGGTGATTGTCTAGGGTTTGGGATGGTTGAGAGTAAATAAGGACTGACTGCTAATGGGTATGAGGTTTCTTTTGGAGGTGATGACATTCTAAAACTGATCATGGTGATGTTTGCACAATTCTGTGAATATGCTAAAAACCACTGAATGAGCCTGGCTGGTGTGGCTCAGTGGATTGAGTGCTGTCCCAGGACTGAGAGGTCCAAGTATGATTCCTAGTTAGGACATATGCTCCTTGATATATCCCCATTAGGGGGCATATAGGAGGCCACCAATTGATGT